ATAGATCCAGCTGGATGTCAGCTGGTTTTTAATTGATGGCTGCTTGGACCACAGGTGAGGGGAATGCTGCAGCAGCTCGCATAGTTCTAGCACAGGACAGAAACCAAACCTCAAAACATGAAGGTAACTGAAGAATTAAAGGCAGATACAAAGTCTTCATTAATGCAAAACTGAAGAGAAAAAGCAATTTAGCAAGGCATGGACTGCAAACCCCATTCATAATATTTATCTTCCTTATTCCGCTCTAATTTGGATAATTTTGCCCTTCAGTCTGCCATGACCACATTTCATGTTAGCACTTCCAACATAGGTTGGTTGTGAGCCTGGTTAAATTAATGTACAGAATTAGCTGCAGGCAATGCAGCAGAAATAAATAAAATCCTGCCTTGTAAATGTGGGGGCTACTTCTTTCCACACTATTTTTTTTAATAGTGAGACAAAATTTAATTAATGGGCTTTTGGAGTGACACTTCAGTATTTCATCCTTCTATTAAAAAACTGTTTTCAGTGCAGGTACCTCTGCACTGGATTGATCTCTGTGCCTAGTTTGCAGTACACTACTATATTCAGAAAAAAAAGTTAGTTAAAAATTCCCTTTGTTTAAATCTGTACTTGCTGCTTGGCCATCAAGCTTGGAAAGGTCTTCAAAGATTATTTTATCGTGCTGTGCCTAAGTAACCAGAAGAAAATACCTCCCATCTCATTACTCTGATTTACCTTGAATAACCTTTGCATGTCGTGAGTTGATGACTGCCAGTTGGTCAGCATATGTATTTCTGATCAGTCTGTTCTCTAGTGCTCTGCATAAAAAGCCCTCCTGTCCCCCATTCCCTGCGCACACATCCCCCCCCGCTTCCTGCTGTACAGAAGACATCCACATGAGCAGAGCGTGCTGGATTTAGCTTTCCTCCCCTGTTGTTAGTTTGGGACTGATGGAGATGAGAAGCTTCTGGGATCAGAGTGTCCCCAGACTACATTTATCTTTTTCTTTTTTTAAATGCCACTGAGCTTGGGAGTCTCCCGCTGCTCATGTTGCTTCACTGTTCAACTTGGTTGCTGCTTAGAAAAGGAAGGAAAACTTTGATCTTGACATGCCCTTCTTCTCTGTCCCAGCTTACAACTTCTGCAGAAAAAAACCCCCATGATTCAAGTGCATCTGTGGTGACAGTCCTTTCAGGGAAGAACAGATGCTTTTATCAGATGTCTTCCCAAAATCTTTAATGCCCAGATAAGTCCAAGTCAACTGTCAGAGGACAGACCCAAGCACTGACTTTATCACCATCCCCATGCTGCTCTCAAGGTAACCTGCCCACAGGCTTAAAAGTGTCCTTTCCCAAAGTGGGGTAGATTTAGGTCATTACTTACTGTGGCTTCCAGAACTGAGGGATCAGCAGGACCTCTGGCAATGACCACAGAGGCAGCAATCAGTGTGCAGGCAGCAGCTGTGCTCTCACAACTCCGCTGTAGGCACATCTATAACAGCTTTGGAGGAAGACAGTCCATGACCATAATTGTTTGACTTGCCCTTCACCATCCATGGGTTTAAAGGTATCTGTCCCTTGGATCTTATCTCTCTGGCTGCTTAAATTTGTAGAGTATATTTTCTTCATTAGCTGTGGACACCTTTGCACATTTTCACTGACCAAGTAGACCTCCAGTCTCGTGTAATCTTATTGTTTTCCCAGTTCCCTTCACCAGCTTCAGGAGTGAAATTATTATGTGGTTAAAAGCCTTGCCTATAACTTAAAATGAAGAGGAACCATATTAGCATCAGATAACTCACTGTTAATATATAATTTCAAAATACTAAATTGAAAAATGATGTTATGATTACCTTGCATGGTGCTGTAGACTCTACGGATCATGGAGGATGTCCTCAGTGCAAAGAAGAGTTTGGTGGCTCTTTCTATTTCCTACATGGCCCTTCATCCATCAGCCATACCAAATAGTACTGTCATTTATGAGAACAAGACAATACCCTTTTACTATTGCATTGCTATTTAATATGCATTCTTTGTGCCATCAGACAGGCCAGAGCACATGCAGAGCTGACCCCGGGGTGTTGGTGTATGCTTAGTAAATGTAGCTGACAAACCTGTATGCCATTTCTTTGTATTTTTTCCATGTTAAAAAGAGTGAGAGGCAAGTACCACTTGAAAATGCACAAGTGTAATCTTTTAAGTGAATTTAATGTAGTACAGTCTTATTTGCAATTGCAAATACTAAGGCTGCATTTTTCCCCTTACTCCAAATGCCTGAAAATCTCATTAATGTTAATGTATGGGAAAGAAGTGCTTAGCCTATTGATGGAGGAATGAAATCAGGAGCAAAGCACATCTCTACAAAGATTCATCTGCAGATTAGGGTCTGAAGCAACCATTAGATTATCAAATCTGACCTTCTATCTAATACAAGCCATAGAATCTCATCCACTTAATTCTGTATTTATCCCAAGAACAGCACCAGAAAATCAAATACAGTGCATTAACATATTATAATTTAGCAATATATTCAGGCATTTCTCCTTTTTTAAACTCTAAAACAGAGGCAAACAGCACTACTGTGCTATATGATTATTGATGAAAATCTGCAGGAGGAGAGATTTTAGCTTTTTATCTGTCTGCAGAGGAGAATTTGTGTGTCTTTGTGCTTGCATAGGATTTTGTTTAGTTCTTTGAAAATTATGCACTGGTAACTCTAACCATTACAGAGCTGGTTGAGAACCATTAGTTCTGTTTTTCTCTGAGGGCAGCACAAATTGAAATAGGGATTTTTGTATTTTTTTAACAGAAAAAAGTCATTTTCTTGAAAAATCTGTGTGGTCCTTGACAACTGCTTTCTAACATCTTATTTGGAAACTCCCTGCCAGTCAGTTTTCCTAGGAAGCATGAAGCACATTTCACATCTGGTTTCTCATCCCTTTGACTATAACACAAAACTGCCCTTGAAGTGCACCTCGGAGGTATCCAGGGGGATACCACACACACACAAAAAAATGAGCCAAACTGTCTAAAAGACCTGCACTGGGCTATTGCATGTTTTAACCATTAGCCAGCATTTTACTGAACAAAGGGACTAAAGAGATGAGACGAGATGAGGAAAGTATCAAGGAATTCAGAGGAGAAGTGGTGGGTGGCACTGCACAAAATACAGAGGTCCCAGGCTTGGCACATCAGTATTCTCTGAAGAAAAAATCCTCCTGCCCAAGTTTGAGGTGCCCCAACCCCTTGGTGTTGCTCATCCCATGAAAACATTTCTCTGCAACCACCACAGCCCAGATGGAGGGAGAGTCTCTGCTGCTCACGTGTTGCAAAAGCTTTTGCTGCCCCTTGGGCAGGTGAAACCTGGGCTCTCAGGGCTTGTCTGTAACAATGCAATTTCTATTTCCTTCCCCTCCAAAGCTCAGAAATTCTGCAACTAGCTTAGTCCCACCTTGAAATTTTGTTTGGGTTTTTGACTCAAAAGTGCATTTGGATCCTGTTCTTTGTGGTTTTTTTTAAGAAATATGAGTCATGGGTAACTACTGCTATTGAAAGCAGATATTTGACCTGTGACTGCAGGACCTGGAGGTTCACTATAAACCCCCAAGCTGGTGCAAAACCATTTTCCAAGGATGAGGAGTTTTGCCTGGCATATAATGGTTTTGTCTGGTATACTGGCAAGGAGGAAGACTGCTATAACCGAAGGAGCCCCCGTAGCAGATGCACAGTCTACATTGCCTCAAATACTTCTTTGCAGAGTCCTGTGATTCAGGATAACCTATGTAGAAGATACTAGAGAAATACTTTCGAAAGACTGAGCATACAAGAAGGAATCTCAGAGCTCCTTGCCTATCAAAGAGGAAGGCCTTAATTCTTGGCTTTGAGGCTAAATTAGTTACTGAGCATAAGGCTCGTTGAAATCCACAGGTAAATGGTGTTAAATAAATGTAAATAACATTACCCAAACCTTCCCCCTGTTGCTTTGATGCAATTTCTTCACAATATGTAAAAAGGCATTTGTAGCACTGATGGTAGGGCTGCACAAAAAAACACCGTGCCATGCAGAGACACCTCAAGTGGCTGTGAATAACCGAACACAGGAGCCTGCACTAGCATGGCCCTTTGCTCAAGCTAATATTCACTGTTTCCTGGAGGAGCTCATTGCCTGCCTTAGTAGAAGCTCTTGCTGTGGTTGCTGGACACAATCTGGGCAGGAGGTGGCTGGTGGTGACAGAGTGGCCTTCTCTGCACAGCTGCTGTGTGGGTCCTCCCTAAAACACATTAGAGACTCTCCGAAGTATTCAGTAGCACTGATAGTTGAAAGTTAGGGCACTGTTAACAAAATAGTAAGGAACATAGAACTGTGTGTGTTAGAAGACCACGCACTCTTTCTTTCTCTGTCAATGTGGCTTCAGCAGAGAGGCAAATTTATCATGGATATTCTGTTCAGAGAAGAAATCATATCTGAGTGAACGTTCCTCTTGGAGAGTAGCAGGAATATCCATGGGCTTCATTTATTCTGCCAAGGTCATAGCCAGGTAACAAGCCACGATTATTCAATTCTCTAACATAAAAGACACCAGCAACAAGGGCACAAACTTTTTATTTTGAAAAATTTTCCAACTCTGGTGTCTCCCTACCCCATGTTAGCAGCAAATGGGGTCCAACACTGCTGGAGCCATGGGATGGACTGCAGAGTGGACTAAGCAGTGACCACATGTCAGATTGAGGGTTCTGTAAATACACTTGCCACCAGGCTGCGTAAGCACTTGTGCTCCTTCATGTTGGCTTCAAAGCAGAGCTCTGGAAGCTTTGTGAACAGCATTTAAGCAGTGTGTATCAAGAAGTTTGGAGACAAAAAGAGTTTATCTTCTCGAATAGGAACAATTTTACTCTGCCACACAGTGAACTGTTCCATGCAGGCAGAAATCTACTTTTCTGTGAATTTATATAATAAGCAAAAAGGCAGCGAGAGTTTCCCAGCCGCTTGACTTACTGGTGCCTGTGCTTTCTTTGCAGTTGTCCAACACAGCAATTCTTCATCAGATTAGACGAGACCAAGTGACAGACACGTGCCGAGCAAACAGTGTGTCCAGCAGGAAGCGCCGCGTGCTGACACCCAATGATCTCAAACACCTGGTTGTGGATGAAGATCATGAAATGATCTATTGCTATGTTCCCAAAGTGGCCTGCACAAACTGGAAGAGAGTCATGATGGTTTTGACGGGAAGAGGCAAATACAGCGATCCGATGGAAATCCCAGCCAATGAAGCCCACGTGTCTTCAAACCTGAAGACCCTCAACCAGTACAGCATCCCAGAGATCAACCACCGCTTGAAAAACTACATGAAGTTCCTCTTTGTTCGTGAGCCTTTTGAGAGACTGGTGTCAGCCTACAGGAACAAGTTCACCCAGAAGTACAACACTTCCTTCCACAAGCGATATGGCACCAAAATCGTGAGGCGCCAGAGGAAAAACGCAACCCAGGAAGCTCTGCGTAAAGGTGATGATGTGAAATTTGAAGAGTTTGTGGCATATCTCATTGACCCACACACCCAAAGAGAAGAGCCCTTCAATGAGCACTGGCAGACTGTGTACTCCCTCTGCCACCCTTGCCACATCCACTATGACCTCATAGGAAAATACGAAACGCTCGAAGAGGATTCGAATTACATTCTCCAGCTGGCAGGAGTAGGCAACTACCTGAAATTCCCCACCTATGCAAAGTCTACGAGAACTACTGACGAAATGACCACAGAGTTCTTCCAGAACATCAGCTCCGAGCACCAAACGCAGCTGTATGAAGTCTACAAACTTGATTTTTTAATGTTCAATTACTCAGTGCCAAGCTACCTGAAATTGGAATGAGGGATGGGTTGGGGGGAGAGAGGGGAGAGAAAGCCTGTTTTATTTAAGATTTTTATTTGTCATAATAAATAAGGAGAATGGGTTATTTTGTAAATTAATATTTTCTTTTTTTGAATGATGCTGCGAGCAGCACAGTCAAAATTATTTAAATCAACTGTAAGAAAGGACAGCTCTCTTTGCAGGGTAACAGGATTGTGACGATCTAGCTGTAGAAATGACTAATACTGCTACACTGTTTAAAAAATGTTGTGTTCTGGTGAATTTCATTGATCTTGCATTCCTCCAATTCTAATTAATGTTATTTATACTTATTTAAAACATTGTCTCTTGGTAGGTGTCACTTCAGCAGCAGAGATAACATAAGATTTGGAGAAAAGGAGTCTGGGTTTGTGCTTTCCTCAGTTGAGCTTGTCTCTGGGTATTACTCTTCCATTAGCCGTTGATTCAGGTAAATACAGAAATGGTTGTTGATACCACATGCTTTGAGAAGAGTGGTGGAAATAAGTTCTTCAGAAAGTGATATTGCACTCTACACTAGTACAAAATCTATCTTTCTAGCCCTGAAAAGGAAAAGTAAAACAGACTTGGGTAGATTTGTGCTATATAAAACCCATGACTGAAAGAAATGTGAATGTATTCCTCAGTAAGAGAAACCTTGAACCTTTTATAAATCCTATTGAGCTTATCAAGAATATGACCAGTCTCATTGTCTCTTAATTTGGGCCTGCCAGCCCAAAAAAAAGCAGATTTGCAGATGGTCCATTAGAAAAAACCCAGCATTTTGGAAATGACTGTAAGAGATTTTTGAATGCTCAAAGCAATTGGCATTGACTTAATTCATATCCAGGATGGGGCTGAGGGAAACTTCATCTCTGCAAGTCGGCCCTCCCTAACAAATCTTAAGATGGACAACCAAAACTGGCTCGAGAGACCCCAGTCATGATACGTTGCTATAAATGATCTGGGCATGTCATTTGAAAAGTCAAAAAGTCATTTTCATGTTGATAGCATGCAAGACAATAAAAAAGGTCTCATCGTCCCACATGCTGGTTTCATGGCTTTTTCCTAGGGGGAAGAGGAAGTCTTCTTTTTGCAGTTGATGCCTAAATACTATTGACAGGGATGTTTCTAAATTCCAGTGGATTAGAAATTCATCTTAAGTGAGCCCTAGTGTAAGGCCATGACCTTTTGCATTAAGGTGAATGTCTCAGTACTGGTTGTTTTGTGTATTACAGCTTGTTGGGATGACAGATTGTACCAGTCACAATGGTTTTGGGCAAGCAAATAGTAATCTATTCACACCAAATAAATAATGAAAAATGAGATGTCAGAGTGGATCTGTTAGCCAGCTAGTGAGAGCAGAAGATCAGGCTTCTCCAAAGGTTTGCTTCAGTTTGATGCAGGTGAGGTGCATGGCCTGGGGAATGCTCTGTAGCCACCCAAGATGTCCTGTCTGGGGGTGTCAGCGCCATCAGAGAGCTGAAGGGCAAAAGGAGGCAGAGGCTTAAATTGAGGCACTTATGGGAATCTAAAATCTGTTTTAAAGTTGATAGACAGTTAAAATGGGGTTTTTGAATTGCCTGTGTGTCAATCTTATGATCGAAACAAACCCTTCCAGAAATTACTGGTGATTTAAATAAACTCAATTGAAGGCAGAGCTGTTTTAACAGTATCAGAGCCAGATCCTGAAAATGTATTGTACAGTAGCCAATAATATCCACTGAATTACATTAGTTTCCAGGACACAAATGTGATTAAAGAAGAAAAATAGTTTGCATCTTATTTGATAAAAATAAGTTGCTGAATAAATCTCATAGAAAAAAAAGTAACAAACAGCAGCTGAAGTCCTTTCACAATTGGATTTGGTCTTAGGCAGGACTCGGGTCATTATTTTTTGTATCATACCATAAAAATATATCTCTCATCCATTCTGGAACAGCCACAGTTTTCATAACCCAGGTCCTATTTACAACCCAGAGCACTGGCCCAGTGGCAAGCAAAGGGCTGGCTGGCTGTGCCTACCCACCTTGAATTCCTACTGGTTGGTTGCTGGCTGGTGTTTTACTTGAAAGCAGTTTTGTCTCATTTAGAGTATGTGGAGCTGTTGCAAGTGCCTCTTACAATGTGCCGTGGCTTTCTTATGTTCCTGGTTCAATGGTTGTATGTTTGTTAAAAAACAACTGAGGGTAGATTCCCCTTTCTCCCCCCCCCGCCTCGCAATACTTCCTACAAGCTATTTGTGTCCAATTTTCTCCTCAGTTAGCTGTTAATTTCTCCAAGAGGATGTGATGTGAATTTTTTCATTTAAGACAAAAGTGGCCTGAGAAAGAAAATATTTTAAAAACGGTGTGGGCTTCCCCCTTTGTTTTTGTACTTTAGCATCATCACCATGGTTTTATCTGTTCTGAAATACTCCCTTTAGTTTCACAGCCTTGTAGACACAAAAGCCCTATTTGACAGCTCTGATAGAAAAGCTTTAGGTGAAAAACATGTTCAGGAGATCTGAGGAGCGAGCATTACTCCAGCCAGGATTTTTAGCAGCAGCTTTGAGTTTGATTACCCAAATTCTGCCTCCCCACAGAAGGCTGCTCTATGGGTGGATGCTCACCACTGAGAGGAGTCTTATTTGGACTAAAAGTGGGTACTTTTAAGTCACTTGCTTTTTAAAAACCTCGATCCCAAACTACTACAACCTGGTTATTTAGTGTGTTATCTGTTTTGGGGTGCTGTGAATAGGCTGTAAACCGTGTTTAAAATGAACAGCTGACATGCTGGATTTGATCATGCAGTGACTGCAAAGCCCTCACCAGCTCAGAGGAGGATCACAAATGTTAAGGAATAGCCTTTTCTTTTGGTCTACTGAGTGTGTTGTTTCGACTGAGCCAAAAAGTATCTCTTTCTACTGCAGCCACACAGGAGGGACGTTTAGGGTTGTTCATCCTCATCTCAGTGAGATGGCAGCCACCACCTGCAGTGGAGGGGGCAGCCAGGGAATCAGTGCTTTTACCCTCACCTCTTCACTGAGTTTCCCAGCTGGAGGAGAAGAGGGGCTGGTCTGCTCCCCAGCTCTGCCTCCCTCACAGCTTCATTTCTGCTGTGGCCACAACTAGTCCTGGGAGACAAACAGGCAGCACTGAGCCACAGCAAAATGCAAAATACAGACGTCCTCGTGGGACTGAAAGGCCCCCTAGGGAGCTGCTGTTGTAAAAGGATGTGCATTAGTTATGATCGAGTCATGATGAGCACAGAGAGGACCCGATGGGGGAAGTCTTGCTCCCCACCTCTGTCCCCAGCCCCTCAAAGCTGCTGGAGCAGTGATTCCTCATCTCTGAGCAGCTGATGCCTCCCTGTCACTTGGCGTGGCCAGCACTGAGCCCAGCAGTGCTGGTGGCTCTCTTCTCGGCACAATACCCACAGCCAGGGGTTCATTCCCCCTAGATGGCCCCAAGCACCTTAACCTGGAGGGCAGGCTGGATTTGGCCCATTGAACATGGTGGTGACTCCTGGGTGGTGGAAGGTTCCCCCAAACCTGACTTGGTCCATGCTTCAACCTCTTTGTAAACCACATCCATTACCACAGAAATGTGCAAACCGCCTGAACCATGCGCTGTGTAAGACAAGTGAAATAAATAATCCACAAGCAGAAGTGCTTTTAGAAGTAAAATGTTTTAGGGTTTCACTGTAGTCTGCTGCACTTTTCAGGTACAAAAAGGGACTGTCCTTACTATTACTCTTGTTACAGAGAGTGTTATTTTCTTACATGCATGCACAATACAATGTGTACGAATAATTTAACATCAATGTGGGGTTGGATTTTTTTTTAACCTATTTGTATGCAGTAGAAGGCTTGTTGTAGAAAAGTATCTCCTCATACTTAAATATACTGTTAATAAAGAAAAAAGCTAAATTATACATTGCCAACACAAGTGTGAACTGCTCATGAATCTTTCCTTAAAAAAGCCATTCAAGCCTGATTATTTTTCTAAGTAACTTCAATTAAATTGAAGAAAGAAAGTTCCTCTCTGTGTGCTTTATTTCTGGCTCATGCTTTCAGGGTGGATTTTTCAGGGTGGGATTTTTGTCTACATGGCTTTGCTTTCTCACCTGCGTTATTGTGGCAGGACACACAGAAGACTTAAAATTATCTACTACTGTGGAGCAGGAAAGCTAAAGTCATCTAACAGCATCCCTCTTGCTCCTCTTCTTTCTCAAGTTTCCAGCCAGCAAGGATGAGGGCTGTGAGTTTAAGACCTGTTGCATGCCCAGAAACATTGTCCTACCTCAAGCAAGGGTGATTTAGAGCCAGACAGATGACATAAACTCCAGGTACCTGATGAGCTTCAGGCCACGTGCTTGCTCACCTTCATGTGAATCCACTAATAATGGCTTTGAGTTTAACATTTCCAGCAGTCCCCAAGCTTGCGTGGTCTTGTCCATGGTTTTCACTGAGGCCACGCCTAAACCCAAAGCGGAAACTTCCAACTGAGCTTTGAAGACAAACTCAAGATCTCTTTGTAAGTGACATGCTTTAGGTCACTGAACATCTTGGTATCCCATCACTGTAACCTCTCCAGCATCTTAACATGCCTCTTGAATTGAGGAGGGCCCCAAAACTGAATGTCACATTCTGGGTGCAGCCCTGCCAGTGACAAACAGACCATTGAATCTGCCAGCCCCACTCCTCACAAGGCAAACATCATTCACAATGAGAGCAGAGACAAACAGAAAGTAGGCAATCTGCTGAGCAGGTGTCATAGCACATGGTGGGGCACTGGCCAAGCCCATTCCCACCTCAAATGCCCCAGCACCCTGCACTCCTTAATTAATAGGCAGAACTGCAGCACCATTTATTGAAATCGCAGCTTGGCTGTGCAGTATTAAGATAACAATCTTCACCTTTCAAAACATTGGTGATTTGCGTCTTCTACAGGCACAATCAGAGGGAGATAATTGAGAAGGTCTTGAGAAGGACTGGATCTAAGTGAGCAATTAGCCTGAGTCTGGCCACTCTGCTGATTGTTCTGTATCCCTTTGGCAGCTTGGCAGGGCAGGGAATACACACGCTTGGAAGTGATGCAATCCTGTTCCGGCAGTGCATGGGTCTCTCACCACTGTACTGCCCTGAGAGAGCCTGTCAGCTGCATTCACAGAGGTGGAGTGCAGTGTCATGCAGAAACAAGGGCCAGGAGAAATCTCCGGGAAATCCCTTGGCTGTGTGGGGGTCAGTGCACCAGGGCACGCCAGGGAACTGAGCACAGGCAAGGGGAACCAGCAGCTGCAGAGGTCAGCCATGGAGGGAGAGAGCTGGGGGCTTCACAAAATTGAAGTCACATGCACACAAAACTGGAAACTTCCATTTTTGGGGCAATGGGGTAAGAAATGGCCTCTCTGCACAGCTCTTGGGTGCACAACTTTTGGGTGATTTCCTTTGTTGCTTGTAAGATAGCAGAGAGAGAAGCCCAGTACTTGATACTGCCACAGACTCACAAAAGCACCATTGGAAGGAAGCTCGAGGATTTGTCCTTTTGGCAAGCCTTAATTTGTCCCTTAAATAATTACAAATTTACAAAACCCCTTCATTTTGGTACCCAGGAGCTGCCTGCAGCAAAGACCTCAGGCAGCTGCTGTACGACAGTAGAGCTGGCAGCAGCAGAGCTCTGTGCAGCACCCCCGGCGCACTGGGGAGATGAATGTGCAGCACTGGGGGATGTGACAAACTGTAAGGATCCTGCATGACTGAGGTTCCCCTTGCCCAAGTGAGTAATTCCAGTGGAGCTAATGCAAAGTTTGAAGAAAGCCTGTTCCTGTAGTCATAATATGCTCCCTGTGCAAGCACGAACTCTGGCACTTCCCTACCTTTGTTTGGATGCAAGTGCATTTCATTTAATTCCATCATAATTGCAAAAACATTTAAAATACAGGAAACTGGAAGGAAAAGAGAAAAAAATTAAACAAGTGCAGCCAGCAGCAGAGAAGAAACCAGAACATATGCTTCCCAACCAGCAGCACCGTGCTTTTCTCACTAGTTGTGTTACACATCATCACATACAAGATTCCTGATGCCATACAAAAATATCTTGCTTTTCCAGTTGCACCTACAAGTTTGCCAAAGATTGAAAATTTTGAAAAATTAGAGTATGGTTTTATTCTTCAGTGGGCTAAAGGTCAACATATCCAAAAGCCACCTCCCCAACTTGCATGCAAATCAGTTTTTTAAAAAAACTGCGTTAAAAGAGGAAAATCAAATTTCTCTTTCCTATTAGCATAACAAAAAGCCAGCTGTTTCCACTGTTACTTGAAATGTCATTCTACTGGGGTGCTCAAGCCTCCTGACTATGAGATTCAACTCACTGTCAATAAATAACTTCTGCTGGCTAAGTCAGAGGCATTTAGGACCCAGAGTAGTGACCTATTCATGGAAGAAAAAAGAAAATATTATCATTCATTTATATGTTGTTTAAAATATATTTTGCCAATATTTAATAATGTTACTAATTTTTAATTGAAATTGATTCCTCTGTGCCAATTTTTTGAGTAAATGCAGCCTGAGCTAATATTTCTTTAGGTGCACATGTCCTATCACTAGGCAATAAATGGAAAGTTCATGTTGGAAAATGAGACATAGCATTTGAAGTAAAATTATGTGGATTTGAAAATCTCATTTCAATCAGAGTTTTTAATTAAAAAACAAGCAATCAGTAAAGCTGTTCTGAATCCAAATCAATCCAAAGTTTATGTCCTCATTTCTGTATTTTTCACTAATACATAAAGCTGTCAGTGTAACATACAGCTGAATAATAACAGTTTACCCATTAGGCTTTGGTT